AATTGCATGATTTTATAAGGGAACATCAAATTGCACATCAATCATGGACTAACATTGTGCAATTATGTTTTCCATATGTTAATCACCCAGATTTTTTGTTGTTTAACTTTTCCTAAATACATAAAACATTATGTTCAGTTCTCCACCACTGTTGCAGCAACTAAATAGAATAATGAACTGATTCAAAAACAAAATACTAAAAAGAAAACACCGATGTAAATCATATCTGATTCAGTATTTGTCTTCAAGATGGATTTTATAATTCTATTCTCCCAGTGATCTTATCAACAAAACAGAATAATAAGCAAAATCCAAAATAAAAACTCCCAGAATCAAACCAATCCAAAAATTTTGATATAATAATTTAATCACATGTAACAGTTACCTGGTCAGAGGGAGGGGTGAAGCTCCTCTAGCGGTGGATAGCTTGAAGAAGAAGAAGGTTTGCTATGTAAAGTTATGAGATTTTTCGGGTTGGTACAGGTAAAGTTAATTTTTGCACAAAGGGTATAAAATTAGAAGATGATAATGACTAAACACAAAAATTACGGGAATAATTTGTTAACAAAAACTCATTACCTGATGAGCCAGTGCAGTGATGGTTGTGTAATGCCAAGACACAAAAGCCAGGTAGAGTCTAACAGAAAGGGGCGAAGGGCAATGGTAAATAGGATTTTGAAGAATTTTTCGGATAGAGGAGGGCGATGGTAAATAGGGTTTCGAAGGATTTCTTAGAAGTTGTCCAACTTTTTTTATTTTGCAAATTAATTGTTGGGATGTGAATAGCCACAACTAAAGCTTTAAAAGAAAAACAAAATGGATGTCTAACTGAATCTATAATGGCAAAGAGGTATATCGATGGTAACTGATTTCTATAATTGAATACATGTAATTAAAGAAATTTGGGGAGAGAGAGACTAAGAGGGGGGCCATGACGGTGTGATCTTGGCAGATAGAGAGACAGGGGGAGACGGGGGGAAGTGAGGAGAGGGAGCATGAAGGTTTATTGTTGATCGGTTTGTGAATTGGCAGGAGAAAGATAGCAACTTTGAGAGAGGAAATAAGGAGAGAGAAGAGGGTGAGAGGGTAACTGCTAAGAAGTAAGGTCGTCTGTAAATTAGCAGGAGAGAGATACGACAATAGAGAGAGATAGGGAGGGAGGGAGGGAGACTAGTTAACGGTTGATAAGCAATTAGAGCTGATGATGAATAGGCATTAACTAAGATGGATAAGGCTGACATAGATTCAATGTTAGAGGATAAAGTTGGAAAAAAATATTTTTCACATATGCTGCTTTTTAAAGTAATATATATTTTGGTATATTTCGACCAAAGTTTTAAAAAAATAATTCTTAAAATTTTATTTTTGAAATGTGTCGAAATGTTTCCGTTTCTTAGGTGATCGAAACAATGTATCGAAACAAAATTTTGATCATTGAAATCATATATAACCGCTATATAAACGAGTCGTATTGTATATTTATTTTGATTAACTTCATCTATACCCAATTTGGTTATTGATCGTGTTATGTCGGGATCTATTCGTTTTTAGAACGAATGACTAAATGAACACTCAAACTCTCTAATTTCATATCATATTAAAAAGTTATGTCATATTTTAACACCCCCAATTATAACCCCGTTATAGCTGCACTTCACTTTCCGCAACAAAGAAGAACTGCTTGGCTTTGCAGAGCACAATAGAGCTCGAGTTTGAAACTCAAGCGTTAAAAAAATAGATTTAAATTTGTTCATAAGCAAACATACAAATTAGCAAAATCAAATAAAAACTTGATCATTTTTCAAGAATTAATCGAATATCATGTCAAGAAATAGAAAAAAAAAATAAAGAAAAACTAGATATTAATCTTTGGTGAGTTTTGTTTCACGGGGATGTTTGTTTTAAGAATTCAAATGGCTCTGTGAAATATATGGAATTACTTGATTATTTGAGAGCTCTGATGTGTTGAGTAATAGTTTTCTTTGTATATCAGTTTATTGACATGAAATTTACTATATTTTTCTAGGTTCTATTTTTTGTTTCAAGAACTCGAACGAAATAATGTCAAGTATGAGATTGGTGGATGATTATAGAGTATATGGTTGATTTGTTGGATTTTATTTTTACTTTTATTTTGTTACGAGTTCGATTAACGTTATGTAGATGGTGATTGATTATTGAGTTTGTTTTATTTTATTATCTTATAAAGGTGTAGGGAGAAATGATCATCAGCACATACACACAAAATGATTCATGTGCAAAAGTACGTGTATAACAACTAATTAAATTAAATGTGAGTTTTAAGGGTAAAATATAGTTTTCATCTTCAAACTATACACTTTGTATCAATTTAGTCCTCAATTTTCTAATTATATCACTTTAGTCCCATAACAAACGACAGTTATAATTACTAGCGGATATCAACACTTGCATCTTATGTGCATTCTTTGAAAACTTTAGGAATTAAAATGAACAAGTTATAAACTTGAAGGACCAAAAAAATACAAGTTAAAAATTTAAGGAACCAAAGTGACCCTTCAAGTATAGTCACTTGAACATCTCCGTTAGTCAATTCAAACCACCATTTTTTATTGGACCAAAATGATACAAATCGAGAATTTGAGAGACCAAATTGACACAATTAAAAAATTAGGTATTAAATTTACATAAAATATAGAGTTTAAGGACCAAAAATATATTTTATCCAAGTTTTAATGTAGATAAGGGACCATTTGATAACACAACATAAGGTTTAAAACTGAATACTTTAAGTACTTAATAAATTAAATTCATTTAATAACCTAAAATTCATACTACTTAATATTTTAAGCACTTCTTAAAAATAGGCTAAAATTTTTAGTAGTAAGTCACTACTTATTAATTAATACTGAAAATATTAATCAATAAAGATTTTATCAATTTTTTTTAATTGACAAATATATCCTCACCACCATTGTGTGATCGTCACCACTATCAATACTATCACCACCACCACTACCACCACCACCATTGTCCCTCTTCGACCGGTGTGAGGCAGCGTCTCTATTCCTTTTTTTTTTTTGACACTACTCTAAATGGAAGCGTAATGTGAACCCTGAAATGTTCTCAGGATGTTTAATTTGTGTTAATTATTTCCTTAAACGCAACGATTAATGACCATAATTTGAGCTAGATTTCCCAAGTGTTCGAAGGGATTGAATCTGCACTCAATTTAAGTGTAACGGAAACCGAAGTGCTGTGTTGCTTCCACGTAGTCTTAGGTGTAAGAGACACAAAAGTGTGTGTCCGTTTGCTGCGGTTGTGAACCCACAAATAAGAAGTGAGAAATGTAATATGGGGCACATGATATTATAACTAAAACCATTAGAGGGGTATAAGGAACACACTTAAATTGGAATAAACAAACTTAGTGCCAACTTGGTACCGTCAAGAAGAGTTACTAATAAATGTTTAAGAGGCATGTTTTTTTAAGAGAATAATGTTACATGAACTTAAAAATTAGATTTAATAATTATAATTATTGATTTCACTATGAATTTCAGTATTTATTGAGACTCACTACCTATGTAATAGTTGTGATTGACTTGATAATTATAATCATTGATTTCATTGTAGGTCTCAGTATTTATTGGGACTCACTACCTATTTAATGATTGTGATTATTAAATCTAATTTTTAAATTCATGTAACATTACTCTTTCTTAGGGATAGAGTTGACGACTCATAACATAAGTTATCAGTTTGATATGAAATTAGTATAAAATTATAGAATATGAGTTTAATTTTAAATAATTTGGATATTGAATAAATTCAATACAAATTTGACGATACACAATATAAATCTAATTATACGCAACTTATAAATATAACATACTCGACAAGGCACAAATAACATGACTTGCGAGATATCCACCATTCAGTTGGTAAATTTGAGTAATGAATAAAATACCTACAAAAAAAGTATTTCAATTTTCTAGACATTTTATGTTTAACCAACTCGGCATAACTTTGTTCATCCTTGATTCTTTTTAAGAATATAAGCATTCCGCTATGAAGCACGGATGTTTTATCAAGGTCGACATACCTATATCGATACCGTATCGGATGTGATATTCGTTAGATACTCAATGATACATATCGGATATGCATTATTCATATTCGATAATTAATAAAATATGAGGATACTTCACAGATATTTTTAAACATGGAACAAAGTGTACAATTTTCAATTTTAAGTTATACCCCCCCTTCTTTGGAGTTCACATACAATATAAAATATCAACAAAATTTCATTTAATTTTAAAGATACGAGTGTTTTTTAAGTAATTTTTATTATTACATATTAAGAGAGTATAAAAAAAATGAGTTATTTACACTATAATTTTAAAAATAAATAAGTGTAAACAACCAACTAGTTAAATGTTGTTATGATTCCTTCAATTACTCATGCTCATTTTATGAACATATCAAAATGAGACGATATTACATTATTTTCATAGTAAAAATTCTTAATTTTACTTACTAATGTTAAAGAATTATTGAAAAATTATAATTTTTAAATCGTTAAATAATAATAAAATATAAAATATATTTTATTATTGACATATCTTAACCGTATCGGTATACTAATTTTTTAAATTTTATCATATCACTGTATCTATGTCGTATCATATTCGTGTAACGCCTCTGTCCATGTATTCGTGCTTCCAAGATGTTCGGTCTTTGCTAAAAACAATACTTAGGGCTCGTCGGGTAATCGGGTGTTTTTTTTTTTTTTGGGAAGCAAATTAAAAGTACTTGAGAATAGCGATTGGGAAGTGACTCCGACTCCGACACCGTAAGCCCACAGGCCCAAAATCCGAATGTTTTGGAATGCTATTCTTTTACTAATTCAGCAATTACCATTCTCGTCGAAGAAAACAAGAACAGAAGCGAAGACCACCAACGAAAGAAGAGGAGGAAGAAAAGCAAGAGACGCGATCTTCGATCGGAGGAAGAGAATGGCGCGTGTCGTAGCAGCTTTCGTATTCTCTCTCCTCCTCATCGTGATCGCTGAATCCACCAACGATTCTCAGGTTTGCTTTCATTCCAAATCAAAGCCTTGTTTGTATTTTCCTGCTCTCGCTTTCTCCAAAATGATATTGAATGTTTGAACGAATGCCAGGTGGGATGCAGCAAAGTATGTGTGGCTGAGAATTGCAATTGTAATACTCTCTTTCAAATTCTATCGTTTCCTCTTTTTTATTCTTTGTTAGAATAAGAATGTGATATAATTTCTTTGTTTTTTTGATAGCGGTTGGGATTAGGTACGGAAAGTACTGCGGAGTAGGGTGGACTGGATGTCCGGGAGAGAAACCCTGCGATGATGTTGATGCTTGTTGCAAGGTTCACGACGAATGTGTTGAGAAAGAAGGTACTTACTAATGCAATGATTTATTCTTTTCTTTTTCTTTTTTTGAAATTTTAACATTTGGTTGAGTAAATATACGATTTTCGTTTGTATTGATCAAAGAACTGAACAGAATTACGAATTATTTGGCGATTCATATCATGGAGATTGAACCATTTTATGAATTATAACTTCGGTAGTGGCCTAGGGCGGATTTATGCAGGGGCCAGGGGGGCACTGGCCCATCCTCAAATTTGTTTCCTTAATTTTATATATATAAGTTTCCTTAACATTTGTCTTGATTTGCAAATTTGTGTGTTCTTTTGGTTCTAAATTCAAAATATTAAGGTGAAATTGTCTACAATTGACCTATAATTGAGCATTATTTTTCTACAACTGATGATTGATTTGTTTCTATTGGATTGCAGCGGTACTTCTTGATTTTTTATTTTTTTTGATAGACTTGCTATTTTGATATAAAATATGAAATTATGAATAGATGTAATAACCCTCACATTCCGATAAGAATTGTAATTGATTTTCTTTTTATACATTAAATGAATCAACTTCTCACCCTTCTATTTAATGAGTTTTTATTATGAAATATGACATAATTAATATAAATGTGTCGCTTTACCTTTATAAATTATGAAAATAACCTACTCTAAATTTAAAAATAATTTAGCTACTATATTTGTCTCGGTGTGTGTGTGTTTTTGTTTTTTTTTGGGGAGGGGGGTGGGGGAGAGACAATTCTATGAGATTATATCTAGATACCTTCAACAGGGGTTGTTCTAATTTAATTTTTTTTGTGAATCAAGTGTAATTGCTTGTTAACTTTAATATAACCATTTGGTAAAAAGTAGAATTGTTTGGTAATGACTTTTTTCCTTTTCATTAATAAATTATTTTGACCTTAAACTTTGATTGTTTTGTGGATAGCTTATATTTTTATCGCATTTAGATTTGTGATCTACACCATTTTATTAACATATATAGGTTGTGCCCACCCTTAGGCCAGTTTTTTGGCTCCGTATGTTATTAGTTGTTTAGCACAAATATCACTATAGTTCTTGTTCTTTTTATTTTATTTTTAGGGGGGGGGGGGGTTCACTCAATTGATTTGCTGCTCCTTTTATTTGATAGAAAAATGATTTGAGTTCTATAAAAACAATATCTGGTCTAAGGAGGAAAAAAAAATGTTCTATGAAATATTATATATGCATCAGCATGGACAAAGGGTACAACCATAAAAGTAAACCAGGGAGTTCTCAATCAAGTTAGGAGTGGCATGTTGAGCAAAGCTATGGGACACCTTCCTAGTGGACCTACATGCTAAAGATGTTGATATTGGAAAACTATATATTTGCACTTACAGTGTCAATGTGATGGGACCTATTTGGGGTTAAAATTGAATGTTGTGGCTGCAGCAACATTCAAAAATCCTACTTCTAACCAATGCTATGAGAATTGAGAAAAAAAACTCAAAATGAGCCATCATTGTGCAAAAGTGAAGTTGACCCAGCCTTGGAAACCAAAGTTGACAGGTGGAAAGTCTAAGATTAGATGATGACTAAAATATCTGAGATGTTGTTTGTTAATCTAGTTTTTTTTTTTTTCATTTTATGACAAAAAAAAACGATGTTTGGTAAACGTTTTTATTTTTTTTTAATTGTTCCGTTTTAAAAAAAAAGCTAAAATATGGAAACATTTAACAGGATGTTTTTGAAAACATCAAAAAACCAAAACACGCGGCAATAACCAACTCATTTTAATGAGGTCTGGGCTTTGAACCCTCTCCACAGCAAAATAATTGGTTATTTTCCTTACCCTATAAATTGCCAAGGACTTTATCTTTCTCATTCAGCTAAAGACCTTTAACCATATGAAAAACAAATTTGAAGCACCTCCAAGGCAGACAAGAGACTCACAGCAGACGATCTTCGGTGGTGGGGTTGGGGGTGCGTTTCGGGGGTTGTGGTGGTGTGTTTCGGTGATGGGGATTGGGGGGTTGGTTTTAGTGGTGGGGTTAAGAGTGGATTTCGGTGGTGGTTTTGGGTGGTGGGATTTGGGGTTTGGGTGGTCAGTGGGGTTGGGCGGTGAATTTTTGGTATAATACCAAACAGGTTTTTTATTTTTGTTTTCATAGTTTTTTAAATATTAGTGGCTACCAAACATGTTTTATATTTTTAATTTTTATCACAGAAAAAACAAAAAATTAATTTTTTTTTTATAAAAAAAAAACATAAAAACGAAAACGTTACCAAACGTAACCTAAGTTAAACTTGAGAACGAGTTTTTTTTATGTGGAAGAGTTTGATGGAGTCAATAGTCATTAGAATGGTGGTGGATTTTTTGCAATGAGCTTTTATTACGGTGATAGATTTTCAAGAAAGACGACTCCCTATAGTTAAAGTGGAGTTTCAAGAAAGAAAGACCTATTTCCTAAGTAGTAATTGGTTGTATAAATCAATAGTTGCTACTAGTATTTATATTTGTAATTGGATGAGGGGCCAAGTCATAGTTAAAGTGGAGTTTCAAGAAAGAAAGACCTGTTTACAAAGTAGTAATTGGTTGTATAAATCAATAGGTGCTACTAGTATTTATATTTGTAAGTGGATGAGGGACCGAGTTTTGGTTGTTAAAATTGATATTGTGACTGCTTTGAGCCTCCATGTGAGAGTTGAACGATTCCTCTCTTAAAGGTGAGTGAGGCCCTTCCTTGGATGAGAGATCCCCAACTTCTCTTTTTTGGGTAAGCGATTCCCCAATTATCCTTTTTCCCTTTTATTATATGAAATTTTCTTCCTAATATCAATACAGGATTATCTTTTAATTTTTGACCTGCATCAGAGATCTATGCATTCAAACCTTTGAAAAAGATTTATATCGATTATTAAAACAAAATTAATAGAAACCAGAAGTTGACCACTTCATTCGGTGAATTAAGTTCATCTCATCTCTTATGTTGGACTATCCAGTATGGCACATTTGAATGATAAGTTACTTGTGAACTGTGATGCAAATGGTATAAGAGTTTATAAATCTCAAAAAGAAATTATTTAGGATCAGCATGTTATTATAATACCAATGATATGTCAGCCTGTCGTTGTAGATATCCAAAACTATCCCTCTAAAAGGAACCATTTATTAGAGCTGAAAAGCGTATATGAAGCTTTTTTGTTGTTTTGCACTGCTGTTTCTAACAAAATTAGTTTTCTCCATCAAACAAAGATCTTGTCACGGGAAGTGTTTCAGTCATTCAACTAATTTTCTTGCTTCTTTCACATGGTATCAGGTATGACTAATGTTAAATGCCATGAGAAGTTCAAGCGCTGCATAAAGAAAGTACAAAAATCAGGCAAGGTAGGGTTTTCTAAGGAATGTCCTTACGACACAGCTGTGCCTACAATGGTACAGGGCATGGACATGGCTATCTTATTTAGTCAGTTGGGTAACTCAAAGCTTGAACTTTGAATGGGTAACTTGAATAACATGTATTGGTATCATTCTTTTCCTTCAACAGCTACAGTTGTATAAGGAACCTCTAAACAATATATGAAAATACTAGGAAGGATTCCCTTTAGTTATGTGTTTGTGCATTTTCTCTCTGTTCTCCTTAACTCATGCAGGCCTTATGGTGTATTCATATTTTTCTGGGATACATGAAGTACTAAATTTAGCTCTTGCTGGAATCTTGATCTCAAATACATTTCTGGTTTCTGACAGCTTCAGCTCTGAGCTTCATTTAGGTAGATTAAATAAGCATTGCAATCCTATAATCTGGATAATTCAGGGAGTTGGCTAGGTCATTTCATAATTGTTTTTTTACAAGGTTAATGGACAAAAGGAGTCATATTGCAGACATTTCTAGATAAGTTTTAAACACATTGGGGGTGTTTGGCAATGACAAGGTGGATTGGATTGCTTTGGATTTAAATCTCAAATTTGTCCAATGAAATTCCAATAAGCCAGCTACAATGTTGGATAAAAAAAATTAATTTTATCCAATCCTTGATTTGGATAGGAATTTATGCTATTGTGGGCCCCATGGACAAATCAACTCTTTTTTGGATCAAAGTTCATAACTTTGATATTAATTTATTATTTTACCCTTAATCCTATTCAAATCTAGAGATGGCAGTGAACCGAGTACAAATAGATATTTGTTTAAACCTGCTCTGTTTGGACAGGGAATGGATCATACGTATTGGACGGTGGATATATACAAGGATACCTGTAAAATTGGTGCGGGCCCCGTCCTGTCCCGTTTTACCTGTTATTAATATTATTATTATACATGTTGCTGTGAATACAAATTTACATATTATTAAATAATTTTTTCTTTTGAAAATTGTTTTTTTTTTTTTTCATGTTTTTGGCATGTAAACGTGTAGATCTTTGTTTTTTTTTATGTTGGATTATGTTATGTTATATTACATTGTGTTGCATGATGTTGTGTTGGATTTACATAGAAGACAAACTTTTAATTATATTATGTTAGATTATGTTGTAGATGACAAGTTTTTAATTATGTTATGATATTCTATAATTATGTTGGATTATTTAGAATGTTAGATTTATTTAGAATTTTGGATTATGTTGGCTTGGGCTCGGACTCGGACTTGAGCTTGGGCTTAGGCTTGAGCTCGGGTTGGTAAGGTGGACAGGGGCGGGGATTACAAATTTTCCTACGAATAGGGATGTGAATGAAAATTATATCCGTTAACGAGATGGACAAAATTTTTTAAGCGGGTACGAAGATAGAGAATACACCCCTGCGCCCCCACTTCAGTCCATTGCTATCCAAACCTATCTCATTGGCTTGACAATTCTTGATTACCACTTTAATATTGAATTTAAAATTTATAACTAGTTAGTTATTGTAAAAAATAAAGTTTTTTGTGTTCCACTATAAACAAATTTTAAAAAGTCGATTACAAATTTATTTGATTCATCCAAAATATTATACTGAAATTAATTAACAAAAGATATTGACAAATAAATGCAATAGCCAAAATTACATAAATATTAATTTTAACCGAACGTTGCCTTGTACAAAAATACACAAACTAAAACATTCTGGTTCATGTTTTGATACACAAATATATGGCCACATTTTCGTACGGAAACATCTAGTTTTTTTGTGTTTGACTCTAAAAAAATTCAAAAAAATTGACCACAAATATATTTGATGTTGTCAAAATATTATAACAAATTTAGTAAACAAAGACAAAACAGAAAAAAAAAAAAAAAAAAAAAAAAAAAAAAAAAAAAAAAAAAAAAAAAAAAAA